GGTCCTACAAGGGATGAAACTAATTTTCAAACAGAACAAATCACTTCCCCCCCCTCCCCACCCTATTTTTCCCTTGCAGTAATACTATACAAAGATAAATTTGCTGAGGAACCACAGGATACAGTGGTCTCAGAATAATGTGGAAGAAAATGGGTTGGCCATGGTCATGTAGAAGAGTCACACACTTTCTATGGCACTGACATTTTCAGGCCATATTAGGTTCTCCTTGTGCAGCTCTTTCCACATACCTGGAAATTAGGCCCTACCTGATAATGATAATTCCACTTCGGCCATAACATGAGCAACAATGAAAACCACACAAGATACTGAACTTTCAGAGGCAGCAGACTATATAAAATAGGATGACATCCTTGAACACACAGGGGATTCTCTCTTTTATCATAGAAAGTCCAGACTTAGTGAAGCCATGTGAGAGGAATTATGTGGTTGAGACATTCATAGAGATTTGATCCTTACAATCTTCTTTACGGTAGAAAGCAAGTCAAAGATCAAGAATTTTTTCCATACTCTGTTATTGCTGTTATCCCAGATAAGATATTTCTGCCAGTTCTTGGACAAAGAGCCAAATTTACATCTAGTGTGAATCAATGAAACTCTATACTTTGCATTATACTTGTGTCATAACATTCTTTATATAAACTCTGGGTTAAAATACATACACACACTGGTGTTTACCTGTTATATATATCACAATTTAATTAAATATTTCTGCAACTTCATGTAATCTCAGTTGAAGGCAATCACTGTCCAACAAAATCGATTGAAGCTCTTGATTGTGCCTTTATCTATGCTGGCTGAATTTGAGCATGTAATTCTCTGCCTCTGGTGACAAAGATGGAAGTGATATAATTTTTACAAGGAACAACTACTGCCTGCTCTAATGACTGCACAATACAGTGTGAAAATGCCAGTAGTGTTGACTATAGCCCCATTTCTACTGCTCCACCAAAGAGAGAATTGTGTTGGTGGTGAATTACAAGGGCTATTTTTCCTAGCCTAAGCAAGGCCATGACAATCAGAAATATTTGAACTTGATATTTGATTAATGCTGGCAGTACTCTAAGTGATTTCCACTCGACAAGTTCTAATTATTTAATTATTTCCCATTATTAATGGAATGAAACAATTAAAACCAAACAACTAGAATGACTGTTTTGCAGGAAGCTCATAATCGTCAATTCATACATGTAGAAATCTTCCTAAAATTATATCAAGCTGGCCTGTTGAACTTGAAAGGCATATTTTATCCCAATCAATGCATAAAAGTAAAATTATCCATAACTAAGGCATGTTTCTCTGCTGTACAGTTCAGCTGTAATGATCCCCACACACTGCACTTGCACATCAATTATGATAATCATAATCACGGTCGTTAAGCTGAATGTTCATTATTATCAGGATGCTGGTGACAGCAGATTCAATCATCGGGTGCAATGGGCAGGCAGTCACAGTCCCACCCAAGTTTCTGCAGACAGCGTTGTGCCACATTAAATCTATGATGTGTTCCACATCCCACTCCATTCCAAAAGCTGTAGACGGTAAAGGTCAACTTTATGTTCTGTGCAATATGCTTAGGTTCTCTAAATTAATTCTTTGCAGTACTGGGTATTTTTATGCTTTGTAGATAATAAAATTCTGTTTAGGGCCAAAATGCCTGTGCAAATAATGAAACAGTGATGCAGTCGTACTGTAATTCACCTATAATAAGGCATCAGGGGAAAGAATCTATCAGGAAGGAACATCTTAAAATGTCACTTCCTGAATTTTGCAAATAAGAAAACATTAAATGCTGTCATTAAAATCAGTTTTCTAAAATGCATATGCAAACTAATTCCAATATCGATTAAAGGCTGTAAGCTATCATTTCTGCCTCAGTAAATACAAACATATGTGAGTGTTTTGACAACTGAAAAATTATAGTTAGTGTATTTGATCCCTTGACTGTCCAGCTACATTGGAACCTATCATTGTAGATTAAATTCATAGTGACTGGTAAATTTTTTATATTCATACTTTTCACATAAATTCTATCAAAGGCATTCCAAGGTATTTAGAAGTACAATATTAAACTTAAGATAGAAGCATTCTTATTTTTATAGTGATTTACAGCTGGGTAAACTAATTATATTCAGTTTCACGAGAGGTATAGTATTCCCATTTCTTGTTTATTTTTTAACAAAGAATTAGAATACAACAGTTTTTCCCTTAACTCAGAAACTTCTTTGAAATGTAAATGGAATGAGATAAAAATTTTCAGATTATAACTAGATGAAAAGAAGAACTATTAACTTTTCCTCACATAGATATGGTAATTATTATGTTTAGAGCAAGCCTATGTTAATACTCTTTCATTTTTCAGAAGAAATATAACAAGGCAATATTTTTCATTGTTCATTTTGCTTCTAAAGTAATTATATAATTTACATACTAATCTTTTTGTGACTTGAATTAAAATGCATACTTATAAACACATGAAAACCGCTAGAAAATACAACTAGGACAGGCTCATGAACAGACACAGGGAAACTTTTTATGTAGTTTTAAAAAAAGCCAGATAATAGCAGCTAATATCAAATAATACCTCAGCAGCTCAGAGGGGTCACTGATCCACTGACCAGTGAACTGACTCCTTGGAAGAACTTACACAGTAGTTTGTCTTACCAGCAATGATAAGAGAAACTTCTCTAGTATAATGCTGTCAGAAGTTGAATATACATCATAGCAGGGTTATCAGCTATTCGGGTTGTAATAGAAGTGACATCCACAAAAATATCACCTCATGGGAAACTCAAAGGAGGGGCTGTGTTTAGCAGACAAAGTGTTAAGCAGAAATCTGATTTTTTTTTTTTAATAATATTTTGATACGTGCCCTTTAGCCTTGTGATTCATTAGAACAGGATAATTTTGTTCATAGCACTGATACATACAAAGATTTAACACAGTTTAGAAATAAGAAAGTGACAGAGAGTTCTTTCAAATTTAACAGTTATGAAAGTATGACCTCTCACCTGCCTATAGCACCTTTTCCTTTAAAATACAGTGAGGAGGTGGAGGGTTTTGTGATGTTTGGTTTTTTTTTTCCTGATAATAACGACCTAGTAAAGCAGCAGGTAGGTCATAAATAGCTCTTTTCTCCTGTTATCTCTCTGTTTAGGTAAGCGGCTCCTAATTGAAGGTTCATATTGATTTAGAATTGGGGTTGGAAGGCTGTATGTCATGTTGAGTTAATGTATACAGCTATTCACCTCCAGAGATTTAGGTTGAAATCTATCCAAGATTACAAGTAAAGTGAGTTTAGTTGTTTTAGCTAAGCCCATAATTTATATAATATTTTATGTGTGTGATATGATATACAATATAAATATCTTTACATTGTTTGATATCATCACCTGAGCCTCATGAAGAACTGGTAAGGATTTGAAAAGGAAGAGTCTTTACAGTACAAGATGAGTACCACCAATAAGATTTTTAGATCTTTTTTATATATCATACTTATGCTGTGGGACTTCAGCCAGTCACATCCTCCACTCATTGTTTTGAAAGACAAATTCAGATCTTTTTGTTTGAATGTTGATCTTTGTGACTTTATTTGCGATGAGATTTAATCAATGTATGTTAAAGTACCAAAATTTTTCTCTGAGCTCATTTTCAAAGCTTAGAGATTTGAGAAAAAGTTCTTTTAAAAAAGTATTACTTCTCAAACTAAGATTCCTTAGAATTTGTTATATATTTACAAAGGTTATGTTACTTTCAGGGAACTAAGTAATCATATCTTACAAAATCCCAGAATTATCTAGGTTGGAAAGGATCCCTTGAGATAATCTAGTCCAATCTCTCTACTCAGCTAGAGCAGATTGCCCAGGACCAAGTCCTGTTGGGTTTTAGAAAACCTCCAAGGATGGAGACTCCACAACCTCTTTGGGTAACCTGTGCCAGTGCTCTGTCACTCTTACAGTTAAAAAAAAAAAGACGTGTTTTCTTGCATTCAGGTGGAATTTCATGCATTTCAGTTTGTGTCCATTGCCTCTTCTCCTGTCACTGGACACTATTGAGTCTGAGAGAAGTTTTGCTCCCTCCTCTTCATTCTCTCCTACCAGGTGTTTATACACATTGGTAAGATCTCCCCCGAGCCTTCTCTTCTCCAGACTGGAGAATTCCAGCTCTCTCAGCCTCCCCTCCTACAAAAAAAATGCTCCAGTCCCTTAACTATCTTTGTGGCTCTGTGCTGCACCCTGTACCAAGTCCATTAGCTTTCTTGTACTGGGAAATTTAATGTGATTATGATACCTAATACAAAGAGAAGTAATGTAAACATTACACAAACTCGTGTTAGAACATATTCTGAGGAAAATTACCTCTTATAGCACTACAAAACCAGAAATATGAGATGTTCCTGACAAAGTAGGCAGTTTAATGATGCTACCTTAAAATAAAAATGGCTATTCACTAATTTTTAGAATTTTCCAAAGAGTGAAAGCAGAAAAATTTTTTTTGTTTTTAATCAGGTTTTGCCATAATTTTCTGAAGGTTTATCTTGACGTGCAAAAGTAAACATGCAATCTCTTTTAAATTAGAAAAGGAAATACAGATAGAACAAAACTTTGCAAAACTTATGTAACCAAAGCTGTACTTAACAAGGCTTTTAAATCCTTATCCTGTAAGTGGGAGAGATGCTGAATTTCCTCAAATTGAACTTACCGGAAAAAGAGTCGAGGAAACCTGACACATCATATCAGCTATGTGATTTCATAACATGCTAGAAAGATTCCTGTAAGTGGGAGAGATGCTGAATTTCCTCAAATTGAACTTACCGGAAAAAGAGTCGAGGAAACCTGACACCTCATCATATCAGCTATGTGATTTCATAACATGCTAGAAAGATTCCCATTGGATTCCATGGTCTCTGGATCAGGCCTAAATTCACTTATTTCTAGTACAATAACAATCTAAACCATTCTTTAATTTTTTCAGTGACTTACCTTGTCTCCTACCCACTTCTTAGGCTGTACTTCTCGGAAGTGTTTAATTCCATAAGTTTCTTGGCCATATTTGCCTGACCTATGAACTGATGGGTCATACTTCTTGTTTTTATGATACGAAGAAAATGGCAGGAATCTGAAATTCAAGAGAATTTAAAAATCAATTATGTTTTACTCTAGGTGTTACAGGATTGATGTAATTCATAGATACCTACACTACAGGAGGTGACATGGACACATGTTCCTGCTATTTTCCACTACCTATTTTCCACTACCTTCTTAATGTTCCCCCTCGGTATTGAGAGAGGATTACTGCAATTTCTCCTATAGCTGCTTTTAAATTAAATTTGGAACTAAGAGACAGAGTTTCAACAGGATAAAATAAAGACTTTCTATACAAAGATAAAACTTGGTTCACTTGCATTACTAGATTGTTACTTGGGCTGTATCTGCACTACGAACTGGTATGATGTGAAGAATGAGCAGGATTCAGTTTCCTGGGATCTGCATGTTGACACCTCAAGTCTTAGCAGGCAGTGCAGTCTGTGCCAACTGAAAGTGGCAGGCACAAACATAGAGGTTATTTCTGGAGAACTTCGTAACCACTTTACAAGTCATGTAGGCCCCTAACACACAACCTCAACCTGATCATTCCATCAGGACAGAAACATTTCAAGCATGCCAGCAGTATATGCAAAAACCAAAGCAAAATGGCACCGTAAAGAATCCTCCCTGTACCTTCAACTAGGTATGTATCCTTTGACATCTGTTATTCAAAGCTAAATAAACCATAGTCTCATTTAGCAGAATAGAAACTTATACAAATGGTACTGTTGCATTTCACATATTGGCAGACCACAAAGCAAAGAAATTATTTCTTCTGAATTCACAAATTCTGTCCTTTACTCTCAAGTTATAATTATGTCCTAATTAGCAATCTTTTGGAGCCCAATTATTTCATCTTTGGTTATATGGATGGTGGACTCCCTGCTTACATAGTGTCACTGAAGAGTGAAGCTCCAGCTACCTCCTTTGGGCATGAAAGACGTTTTCAGATGGATGTTCCTAACTCTCATGGACAACTACAGGTTTTCTAGGTAGGTTCTACAGCAAAATGTATGCAGGAAGGTGAAAAACATCCAATATATAAAGGATCTGCAAGACACCCTATAAAGATGTCTTAGTTCCACCTATTCTGGTTTGCAAGAGAGTTATGAGATCAAAAAAGTACATTTTAATATAAAGTAAAACCTTGTGAATGAAGTTTATCATTGCTGGTATTCTCAAAAAGCAACATGCATTCTTTATTCTACAAGTGCAGGAAAAAATATTTTACAGTAAAATTAGAAATATGCTTCAGAAGTTTAAAACACCATTTGAACTGCCATAACAACAGGTGTAGTTAATTAAAACCTTTTCATAGTTGAAAGCTTTTCAAAATCGAAACCTTATAAGAGTTAGACAGTCAAACAAGTTTTTGATAAAGATGGGGATTAAAATACCTTTCTTTGTCTCTCAGTTGATACAGACTCGGAAAATTATTTATTTGGACTAACTGATCCGTCAGCAACTGTGAGTGTTTGTTTTCTTAAATTACATTTCTTTCTTTCCACTTCATAAAAAGAAATTATTTTAGAATCTTACCAGCTATATCAATTTATTCTATCAAGTACTGCAAACAAATGTCATGTAAAGTTAGTGAAAGAAAAACACTGAGTTAGCAGACTTTTAAATTATACAAAGCTATAGTAGCATGTGTATACTCTTGGGAAAGGACACTCTCACATAAGACAGATTATGGTACTTGTAATGCTAATTTGCACATGGGATGGACATCACACACACACACAAATTAATGTGGCCCCAGTGTCCCAGAGAATACATCGAAGGTGCTGTGAGCCGGCTGCTCCACTTGCAGTTTTTATCACTTCTGAATTGCATTTTAATAGTACATTTTTCTTTTGTTCAGACATGAAAGAAAATTGGCTTTCTCAGGGGATTGGATAGCTGAGAAGACAAGGCTAGCAGTTTAGGGATTTGCCCATATATGCATAGAATTTAGTTGAGCCATAGCATTCATAATTTAATATGAATACTACATCTGTAAAACATATACACAAAAGGGCAAAAAATTCTTGAGGAAAGTAGAAGATAAAGTAAATTAAAATTTTCCCTATAAAATTTCCTACATAGAAGTTTGGGTTTTTTACTATGAATCAGTTAGTCTTTGTCTTTTTGGCAAACAAATACTCAGAGTAATTTATGTTTTACCATTATTTCAAACAAGAAAAATATATATAGTAACACTTTAAGACACAACTAACAGTATGTTCTACGTGTAGTTCAGCATAAATGTGATCTGCATTCTGCTGCATATCTCCTCTAAGATCATTAGCTGGAGTATATGCCATACAGCCTGGAATGTATATCTATGGCTGAAGAAAAAAAAATTTAAATCAACCATGAATTTTGAGGAAGAGCATTGAACAATAAAAAAATATTAATATTGAAATGAAAGAACATAAAAACATAATAGAGTATAATGGTATGAAGTAGTCTAAAGTAAAAACTTTCTTTTTTCCTTCTGTCTGTAGTTCTGCTATCAGAGCCAGGTGGGCAGATCTTTATAGCAATAGCAATCTAACTACAAGAAAGAATCATATGCTTGCAAATTCAATGTCTGTTTAAACCAAGTAAGAATTTTCATTACTCTATGTGAATAAGTAATTAAAAAGAACATTAAAACAATTTTTTGTGTTAAGTAGGGTAACCAAATTAATGGGAGTCATACAAAAGCCATTATACCCCCACAACCAATAATAATAGTAAAAAGCAATAGCACTGCAAAACGCTTCAGTAATGTATATTGTGTTCTGTAGCTCTATATATACACCTGACACAGCTTTTCCCCAAATTAATGACAGTATGTGCACTGCATGTGACAGAAGAGTGATGGAAAGAGAAGAAAATTAAATCCAATGATATGATGCTATTATCAACTGTACAAGTTTAGACCACCATAGGATTTTTCCCACAAAAAGCTCACTCTCAGGATTCTTACACGTGGGTTTCAGCTTTTCCTTGTGATTTAAGTATAAATTCAGAAATTCTTAAAGGTTTTCAGCAAATACGACAGACACAGAAGTAGCAGGATCAAAGAAGAATTAAATTCTGTATTGCTGTTTATCATGGTATAAAACATGGTCAGTATAAGCTGAGCCTTTCCAGAAGTTGATGATTTAATGGGAGGTGAACTTTCCCTAGAAAAGTAAATTTAAAAATGAAAAATTATTTCATTTCACTCACCACAAAAGCTTGAATGAGAGATATGTCAAAGAATACATTCAAGATGGGTAAAGAGTTGAAACCAAAAATGGGAAACTACCTCAGGTTCTGCAAATACCAGTATTACACATACAGAACCTGAGGGAGGACCAGGATCAAGGCTGGCAGTGTCACCGGTAACGATGGCCAGCTGCATTGTTGCTGGCACCACACTATGTTGAATCTAATTAGCGTAAAAAGACCTAGAAGCCTCAACTTAGTGGCCAATTCTGGAGCTGACAGCTCTAGTGGCATGTATTTAAATTTCGAAAGATACCCTAGATATTCGTTGTTAACAAAAATAAAAACTGCTTTCTCTCTCTTCAGTCATCCTATCCTGCATCTCCCTGATACTATTAATTTCATCTTTCCAATCATTCTTTTTCCCTCATATTTTCCCCCCTCAATCTTTCTTCCTACATTTCTCAGCTACCATTTCTTCCCTCCATTCTGTCTCTTTTATTGTAATATCTCCCATTATTGTGACAGGAGATGGAAGAGGCCTTTTAGATGCTGAGGGCTTTCCAATTGGATCGACCAAGACGACAGAAGCCGCAGTGGGTACTGGGCTGTAGTGTCTATAGCAATATGAACAGAGAGAGCAGCAGCACAAATGGGAAGGAGGATTTGTCAAGTCTGTCGTTTACAGCTGACGGCAGCATCCCTATGCCATATGGCACCTACCAACAGGACACAGTTCAGAGGTACTAATTTTTTCTTGAATTTAAATGGCAGCAAAGCACCAGAGTGGTCCTTCAGCACATTTTCTGGACCTGCCCAAGAGGCAAAATCCCAAGTCTAGCAGTGCAATCATGTAATCCTGATACCAGAAATGTCTCAAACTTTACCCAGGCTTCTGAGAAAGACCTGACAGTAGATCTACTGGCCAGACTACATATATGCTGCACTATCAGGGCACAATAAGAAATATCAAAACCAGAGAAGGAATAGTCTGCTTTCACAGTTTTTCAAACTTTCATGATATTTGTACATATTGTACATTTTTGCAATTCAGTAGTAAAAATACTACCAAAAATCTTAATTCTACATGCATGATAGTGTAGTTAAATTTTTATCTAAGGTGCTTCTATTGAATAGCAATTCAATTCCTTGTTGTCTTGATTTAATTCCAATAAAACATTTTTTTCTCACTTCAAAGAATAGATGACCATGAACAATTAGCTCCAAACAAACTATGCTTCTCTATCGGGAAGCTGTGAATCTATTATGTTTTTTTTTCTTTAAATAAAACATGAAATTAATTTTAAGATTTCAAATTTGGATTTGATGAAGAAATTACTTCAGGTATAACCCAACAATGTCTATCTTTTGCCTCGGGAAACAAAGGAAGAAGCACAATGGTTTTCCATAGAAAAACAACTGCAGCAGGGCAGCCATCATCTAGTCCATAATGAGTTCATACTAAAATCAAAGTGTTACTTACAAAAATAAAGACAGAATATTTTACTTAATATACCCAGTCAGATTACCTTTAGTGCAGTATCTTTGCCATGAGAAACTTACTTTGGGTTCATTATTACAAATACTGTCTACAGTAATATACTAAACACATACGTCTTCAAAAAACTATCAATCACTTATCCTAACATCAGTAAACGTAAGAATCCTCTGGCCGTTTTTATTTAACCCCTGACTGCGATATTTTAAAGTGGCAAAGAAAAGCATAGTGTAGTTCTTGTAGGAAGTAAGAGATCTCTTCTGCAGTAAATTCCGGAACTTCTTAATTATACACAGACTTATTATCTGCATCCCCAGTGTTATAAAGTACCAGAACTTCATTAGAAAAATTAAGATGGAAAAATGAAGGCGCTACTTTGTAAATTTCCAGTGGAAATTAGCTGGAAGAAGCAGAGGAATACTGGATCAAAAGAGGGTAATCATGCTTAACAGTGCCCTAGAGCACCCGCATGTATAATACGATTTGCACAGTAACTACCTCTCCTATTACTGCTTGTTTGGAGTATTCTGTGTTAATGGGGTTAGCTAATTTAGTATTTTAACTTAAAAAGACTCTGCTGATTAATAAATGTTGCACACTGTGCTAGTAATTAAAATAAATGGAAGAGTTACAAATAGAAGTTGAATTGTTAAGAAAACATTATCTGAAAATATATGATAATCCCTGTTTATCATAATACAATAACAGTCCGGAAAATATGCAAATTGCTGAAGTTGCAAAGCATATGAAAAACTAAGTGTAATTTGGAAAAAGTTTTCAGATGTGTTTTATTTGTATGCCATAAAATGTAGTAGCCATTTTCACTGCAGCTAAGTCAGAAACACAAAGATCTTATAAATGTAGAAATTTAAAGATTTTTTAAAATATTAAATCTTAAAGTGACTTGCTTTTTAAATTTTATTACCATTAATACTAGGCAGCTCATAACACTGATTCTCTCCAAGTACAGAGCTTATTTAGATCATTAACTTCTCTGTAAGTGTACCTTTTGTTCACAGCACTATGTAGCACAGAAGCACCTAAGCTGGTTTTAAAGAAGAGCATTAAGTTGCTGAGAATAAGACCATGAGGAGCCTGATACTGCAATGTTCACACAGCACATGAGAGGCAGAGGTGTGCAAACATTGCACTCTCCTGCATACGAATGAACCCGTGTGTCCAGGACTAGCTTGGCTATCTCCAGTACAGCGCTGAGCACGGACGTAGCCAGAAGCTGAGGTGACTTGCCTGATGTCACACCAGAGGACTACAATGAATCAGGAAACCTCAGCCTTACACTATTGCTGGTTTATCCCTATTCTGTCACCACATTGCAACTAATTCTGATGCATGTTGACTTTATAAAGAAGCTTAGCAGTATACTTTGAAGCATGAGGCGTATTATGTGAGACAGATTTCAGCAAAGTTAGTGAAAATAATTTACATTTTTTGTTCTCTGGAAAATTAGGCCAGGATGCAGCTGCATGCAACTGAGTAAAGAACTTTCCATGCTTAGTGATCTAAATGTGCAGGATCCAGCAGCTGATATCCCAAACTAGACACTAGTTTATTAAGTGGCCATCCCAAAGGAGTCCAATTGTCATTCCTATCTGAGCAGAGGGGGAAATAACTTCATTTGTATGAAAAATAACACAATAAGGCAGTAACAGCTTCAATTACATGAGAAAAAGGAATCAGTCTTATTAGGCTAGATTACCCAGTTGCTCTTTCATTACAAAATAGGAAATTCCAGCAGTTGCTTTAAGTAAGCACAACATTCTCCCTTGCTTTCATTTGTACTGCTTTCGTCTGCCTCAAACTCTCCCACAGCTTTTTCAATTATTTCTGCATTTTATCAGAAGTAAAAAGTTTCTCAGAGCTTGAAACACTTAGAGAAAACATATTACCGCTTTAAAGAACCCCGATAATCAGAGGCGAGTGGGAATTCTGAATGTTGTTGGAAATTGCAGGTATACACCAACAATTTTTCTGTCTTAAGTGATATCACACAATACTCACTCTGGAAATATCTGATCAAGGATTCAGTTTGTCATTTTATGCAAACACAAGCTTTCTCAACAAACGCCACACACTTCTGCTGTTCATTCTCTCCTTATTTTCTAAAATAGAAGAATAATCAGCATAGGAAGCACTACCAGGAAGAAATACAGTCCCAAAGTACACAATTACATAGAAAGAGACAGAAATTCGTCAATTCATAATAGACACTGCTGAGAAAAAAACTACTGTAAAATCTGAGTAACCCTTTGCTGACTCCTCCCTGGAGACTGGCATCCCACACAGCAGCTGCAGCATTACTAGTGAGCATTAGTCCTGATGATGACCTGCAACTCTGTCATCACCTTTTCAAGGTTACAGATGTGACCCTTGCATGGTTGGTTGAATATGAGGCACAAACGGAATGATCACTGCCTGCAAATGTATAATACGCTATGCATTTAGCGTGCATGAAGCTGAGAATCACTGGTGTTAGGACATTGCTTCTGTGCATTCAGGATGGCACTAAATGCTTCCTCACCCATAAAGTAAATAAAGATCCCTGGTCAATTAATATCAGTTTAAAGTTGGAAACTCGAAATTTAAACTTTATAATTCACTCACTGAAGAGAGTCAGTGAAATATTTATTACAAGGTCTGACCTTCTGAAACCATTGACACAGTGATGTCCAGGGTAAACCTCATCAAATAAAGACTGGGCAATATAGTCATGCCTATAAATTAAGGACATCATCCATCCTCATTTGGAATGCATCAGTCAAAACTTACTCATTCAGTGAAAAGAACACTTCAAATGAGAGGTAGAACATTAATTATTACCTAGTGGTTTTGGTGGGGTTTTTTTGTTTGTTTTTTGTTTTTTTTTTTTTTTAATTTCACTGGCAGAAGCTAGAAATAAAAAAGGCCCAGATTTAAGTTGAGATGTGAAAGTTAAGCTGTTTCCCCTTTGCTCTAATAAACAAAAGAACAGAGGAACAGAAAATAGAAGTACATTTCTGCTTGTAACTTAGCTCAGTTACGGTTTTGGTATGAAAGGAATAAAAAGTATTATATCTCACTTTTGGCACCAAATATAAAAAAATAACATTGACTAAAAGTGGAAAAGTAGCTGAAGAAAGATTTTTTTCTCTTTCAAAACTGTTTTTTATTAGAATTTCCATTTAAAGTCACCGTAAATATTAAATCCAGGAAAATGTGAGGAAAATGATCCAACAATAAAAACATAAAAGCCAAACCATGCAAATGCAATTGATTCTGGCATTCTTAAGTCCCAGCCCTGACACTGACACATGGAAACATGGAGCTGATAGAAAAACTTGAAACAGATCAAAGACAGCAAAGCATCGTGTCCCAGTGAATCAGTGGATCACAGGCTGCTCATGAGGAAAAGTGATTCCTTTCTGTCCTGAATTCTGGTATTAAAGTGTCAAAGGATTGCCAAGAGCAGTGAATGCAAGGGAAAGTTGACAAAATATCAATTTTTCTAGTTAACTACAAAGCCAGAGTGGGTGACTTAACAGATTTTTATTATGATTGGACAAAGAGTTCCATCATAAGAAAAGAATTGGAAATACTCTGGCAATAACCTTAAATCTTCTGGGACAGAAGCATTTAGTCTTTTAGGATGGATTACGTCTGTATTTGGGATTGTATGGAAAAGAACTGGCCTGTCTGACACTATTATAGATGCTATGGTTAGGAAACCAAACCGCTTCAGATACGATTATAGCTTTTGCATCATGTTCTAACATGTTTAACATATGCTCCCTCCTCTTCAAGTAAGCTTTGGTAGTCTACTGGGAGAGAAAGCAAGCCTCTGGCATGCAGCATGGCATGCAACACCATTTTTTTCTCCCATAGTCTGTAAGCTCCCTGAAAAGAAAGACTGGAACGGTATTTTTCCCTTGGCAAGGTGCATGTGGCAAAACAGAATTTGCATTTGTTTTCTTATTTCCCATTAAACCCATCTGTTGCATCATGTATTATTATTACTATTACAAGTTCTTCTATCGATTCATAGATATGGATGGCACATGTCACACAATTGCAAGATAGGGTCTTTGCCCTGAACGGTTTATAACATAAAGACACAGAATTTAGAAGTATGTACATAGAATGCTTGCTAGTAAGCTGTCAGGTTTGACATTTCGTTTTGTCAGGCATGAAAGGTTTCTGAAAGCAACAGAATAAAGAAAACATTCTCATAACAATATAAGAAAAAACAAAGAACTTACTCATTGTCATGTATACGGTTTCTCCGTTCCTCCCTTTTCATTTCCTCTCTGGCCTTCTCTAGTGGTGAATTGATTGATGCTGCCACTCGCAAGGTTGGTTCCAAAGGCTTGTAGCGCTGCCGCAATACTTCAGCAGTATCACGGAAAGGCCCCTGAAAGGTATACAATAATGTAAGTGTTTCATTGTGAGGTTACAGTTCTTTTCTTTCCTCCTTTTATTCATGACACATCACTGATGGAAGAGGACACAGAATGTCTGGGAAATGTAGCAAGAATTTTCTTCCAAAATAATTAAAGCAGTTCATTTTGATAGAGACTAACAGGTAACACAAAGGTTGATAACATGCTCTAAAGCTTCAAAGAGAGAATGAGAAATGTGCACTCCAGATTTATTTAACTACTAATAAATATTTATTATTTTAGACCAATACATTGTTCAAACTGATTAGGAAAACTTAGGTTTTCCTTATTAAAAAATATTGGTGAAATAAAGTCTGATACACAAATATTAGCTATAGCTAGATCCTGCTTAAGCAGAAAGCTTAAGTCTTTTACTTTTCATAGGATAAATAATGTTTTACCTTACAAAAACATGCTCTTTTCAATTTAATTATAAAGCTACCTGGAAGAGAACTTAATACATGACTTAAGGTATAATTCATTTAATACAATTCAAACTAATGACTTCAATAATATAGATGTATAGTCCATTTTTGAAAAGTCTAATTCCACATTATTTTCATTATTCTTAGGAAAAAAAAAACAAAACAAAACAAAAAACAAACAAAAACCAAACTCTTAAGTCTTTCTCAAGTTTTTCTCTTTATAGATATTGCTCTATCTTTTTTTCCAGAGTTTATTGTTTAATAGCTGGCCACATCAGCACCTACCACTTAACAACACAGATAAATAGCAGCAGGAAGCCCTTTCCTGTGCTGTCAAAGTGACATATCCTGTGTCTTGCTTTTAGTACTAACCAGTAAGAACTTACCTGGAGTATAATTAGTGTCTTATTATGCTCAGGACAGTTTAGTGGCAACTCTGGATTTAGAAGTGTTGCTAATTAATTTTTATTTTATTTTCATCATTGTTGATCCTGCAATGAACTACTGAAACCTTCTGACACTATGAACAGACAAAGAAACCTAATCACAGCCTTTATTCTTAAAGATACCCTTCTTTAAATAGGTTATCACTAACAAGTCACAGCTGGAGTTACTGCAAGCACTGAGTGAAGACTGTGGGGCTAATAAAAAGAAATGATTCACGCCTCATTTATGTTCACTTATGTTTTACATTAATAGAAACCAATAATAGGAACCAGTTACCATAAAAGTCATGGACCGTAAATAACACAAATGGCAAATAAGTATCATCTAGTACTTTTCACAGCTGGACAGAAGGATTGCTATATTTGAAGTAGTTAATGGATTTTTATTGGAACTTTACTTTTTAAAGGCACAGCACTATGATTTGGAGATCTTTTTAAAGGTCCTAGTAAGCAAATGAGCATAATATTTACACTTTTGCAGACATTCTCTTGCTTCTATTTTCTATGTCTGGGTAAAAAAATATATTCATTTAATATGACCACAATAAGCCTTTAAAAACAAAATGAAAAGTCTTCTCACCTGTGAAAAAATAAGCAATACTAGAACAGGTCATTAAAACTAGTAAGCAATGTTCTAGTAACACATAATCCAATGACCAAATTATTCAAAAAGTTTAACATTTATAATAAAAAATGAATACTGTTTATTGCATGATGTTTACATCAAGCGGATATATGGAGCAAAGAAGAAAGAAATGTACTGTTATCAAACAATATCAAGATAAATATATCTGCTTTTAGAAAATTGTCTTTCAGAATATTGTATTTCTTCTTCATTGTAAAATACTGACTCATATTCCACCAGGGTAAGGGCCAAATCAGATATCCAAGCAAGAGTTTTTTCCCAACTTTAATTTCTAAGACATTCTGAGTCTCTCTCAATCCCTAGTTCAAATGAAATTAATAGATTCCAACTACTAATGGAAGGAGAGGGTAAAGAGTGTAACTAAGCATAGCACTCTCAAACAAGGTTGTGTCATCACTAATGAAAGTGGGGTATATATGCTGGAATACTAAAATAATTCCAAACATTCCCTGCAGATTTTTCCATTCCTCTGAATCATATATTTGAAGAAACCTAGTAATAGGCACCTAAGGAATATATCTAAGATGACAGGATCTCTAAAAAATCCATTTACTTATTTCCATTTTACAAGACTAACTTTAAGATTTAAGTGGAATCTATGGTAAAATGATGATTACAAATGTTTTCAAATTGGCAGTGTCTGCAAGCATTTCAGGCATCCTGCTTCAAAACAGAAATCTTCCTGGGTAGGTCAGGCTAGGAAAGGGAGGGAGGGAGTCAATCAACAGTTTTCACCCTGAAAGCAACTCACACAACTCTATGTTCTATGTTTGGAATTTGTACCAAGTAACATAAATCTTCTTGCTACTGATTGGTCTGCTAAATAAGGGTTAGCAGATCAGCGTTCTTACTGCTTTACAGTAAAATCAGAAACTCACGATAAAAATTATGATCTACATGAAATCATACATACTTCTTTGCCTCCACTGCAGAACAGCTAACAGCATGCAAAAAATCCCCCAAAAATGGCACTGTGATTTCTGTTATTAATGTGTTTTAACGAACAGATGACTAATTTTAGCATTATCTGTGTTTCCATCAAACTGTAATTCTAGTTCTCAGTAATAAAAATGATAGTTCTAACTGATGTATAACCATCATTAAAACTTTTCTTTTAAATACACTATCTTACACACACACAGCTTACCTATAAAGTGCTAAATACCCATTTGCCTGAAAGAAAGGTGAAAGATAGTTAATTTTTGTTCTTTTAAACATCGATCATTGACATTCTCATATAAAATATCCAACCCTATGGACAATACAAATTTTAGATACCTGAAGGAACAGTGAAGTAACAAGTGACTCACAGTGGGCCGGATAGATATTAGAAAAAGAGGCTTGGTGCCAAGAAATGTTACCACAGAGATCTAGGACACAAGTGTATCTAGTAATTAAGTTCCTTATTGTCACACCAGACATCTTTCAGGATGATGCGTTCTGATGGGTTTTCATTTCCAGCTGTTTCATCAGTTCAAACCAGTGTCCTTTTCTTAGACATATAACCCTAAATTGTCAAAGTGTTGTCCAGGGATTTAGCCGTGTGACTCCCATTAACATCAATAAGAGTCGCGCAGCTAAATCCATGCGCTGCGCTTTGAAAATTTACCCCACAGTGTACATCCCAGGGTGCTGAAAGGATTAAAGTATTATATAGTAAATACCCTCTTTGAGGTGCAGAAAATAAACAGAACTCTTCTGGTTTGTTCTAAAAGGCTATCTGTGCACAACTGCTGTGTGTACATCTGAACTTAGAAAGGTCTGTAAAATATTAGAAATCCAAACAGAAGCTTGTAAGATACTTTGTACACAGTAAAGCGGTTTTGCAAGAGCAACTTAACAATGGAAAACCTCTTAGTTCCCTCTTTTAAATAAAGCGTGACTGCTATACCAGGTCCGCTACGCAAAATCTTCCCTTCTATCCTGAGAGTACATTCAGCCACATCCCGCTGAAGGACCATCATAGCCCCTTTGGTCCCAGAAGGTAAAGCTATAATGTCGTATTTATCTCAACTCCAAACTCCTTGATCACCCAAACCATTTGTTGGCTCACACTTTGTCTCGATTCTAATGAGAGCCAGTAAGTTCATTCAATGAGAAAGCTCAAGCAGTCAAGGTAGAGAGAACATGAGGAGGGAATGACAAAGGTGGAGAATTTCCCTGAAGTTGATCCTTACTGTTACAAGCAGTGTGGATCTCTGTGTGGCTCACCTCTACCTCTCCAGAGGTATTCTGGCAGGCCTGCATCTTCTCCTCATGCTCTAACCCAATTGCCTTTGCTTTCATGTCCCACCACTGATACAGAATCGCCCTGCTACGAACAAGTCAGTCATGACATAAAGGCTAGAAAAGCCTCTTCTGTGTGGGCTAGCCAGTACACCCACAGCGGTCCCTACTGAAGAATGATGTGGATGCAATCAATAAAGCACAGGTAAATTATGGCAGATGGCTTGTGTACACAGTTTGAACCCAGCAGTAGTTCAAACTTAAGACTGTATTCAGATCACCTCTACCAAGAGCTCTAATAATATAGTGAAAATAACCATATTGATTCAGAGGAGTAAAATACCACTAAAGATATATTATACATTATGGTAATTCAAAGTCAAACTGGCACTGAAAGTGTATGTGTGAGGTAAGTAGAAGGTTCAGTTGATTAGGCAAAGCAAAAAATTCTTCAGAATAGAGGAAAGACAGAATACTTCTATCCCAAAACTACCTGTATCGGGCATTTATTGGCAAAAGCTACATGTCATTGTACTGTCATCAAGTGAGGCCTCAAAAGTCTATCTGCTGTGTATCTTGGGTGTATTCCCAGTAGGTTTTGATAATAAGGTGGCAAAAGCTGTTTTGCCATCTTGTGGGATGTTAACTCATGCATTATCTCAGAGATCTCCATTATCTCGTAGAAGAGAAAAAAAAGCTATCTGCATCATATGTTGACATCAACTGAAGTTAAAACTGAGACCATGACAGTTAAGAATGGGAGCTGGGCAACTTGAGTGTGATGCAGAACAAAATATAGAAATTTTTATAATTAAAGCTGACACACAGCTAGTGGATACAAGAGAGCAGGAACTATTCTATACCAAGAGGATGTCTCTTGGCCTTCACATGAAAACAATTGCAAAAAGAGAAAAAAGTTATCACAACTGGTTAATTTATCCTATTACCTTTAATTTCTCCTGGTTTTTTAATTGATTTAAAATTGGAAATTAAGAATTCTACCTCTAATGATCCATAATATTGATATTCAATTATATCAGGTCTTCCCTTTGAAATACCGGAGATGACTTTTTTTTCCCCAAAGAACAAAAGTAAAATCTAAAGAATCATCTTTCCCTGTTTTTACATATCACCTAGGTTTCTTTTTCTTAAAGACAAATCTGTTTCAAAGACTTTATATCCTGAGCGCAAGCACTAGATCTACAGATAAAAACCAGAGCCACAAAAGGGGTTTTTGGACTCGATGATCCAACTCGAGCCATTCTATGATAATCTATGAATAAAGATATGAACAAAAGCTGCTTTAGAGACCCTGAAGAGTGTTACCTGAGGTTTCTGCCTGCCAATAGGTGGCAGAGGCCGTGTTGTGGAGAAAGTTGGAGACCTTGTACAAGTTGGCAATTCATAGAGCTCACAGGCGAAGGGACTCCTCATTTGCTGCTGTCTGTGGCTCAATGGCTTTGACGTCCGTAGCAGCAGTTCCATGGGATCTGGGGATTTTCTGAAGGGCGAATTGTATATGCCTGCAATCTGAGCAGAAGATGGAGTTATCTTTGACTTCAACTAAGTTAAAACTCATTCTTGCATTTATTCTATAAATCAAACCAAGTAAAAAAACCTGTATAATAAACCGTTCTACACAAAGTTTCTGAACTGCCATTGGATAGATCTATAGTTTAAATGTATCTCTGGGCATTGCATTACATTTACAACAGGATTTAAATAGGATAATGTAATGTCTAATCTGGGTTTCAGCTCTTCAAATGGGAGTAACTTTCATTTTATTGAAGGAAGAACTTCCTGTATCTCAAATCCATGTTTTCTTTCAGTTGCATTCAATCTTCCACCTTCCACAGCAGTAGTTAAAGAAACATGCCTGTTTTCCCTTAAAAAATAATTAAAAGTGTAAAAATGTGCATCTAGTTTTAAAGGTAAATTATTATAGTTGTTTCAAAACTTTAAAGTTTAATTTCAATTCTAATTTAAATTCCTATACACAATAGGAACAAAAATATATTATCTATTATTTCCAAACACATACTTAAGGAGTAAAATAATGCTTATGGAAGGAAACATAAATCTTGTCCCTTTAAACTCTATGCTAGCTGACTCACAATGTGGACTAAGACAGTGGCAACTACAGCATTTTTAAAAGTAAAACTGAGTGATTAGTTAAGGGGAAATACAAGAAAATTTATGAAATACCAAAAAACAGTAATTGCTTCTTTCCAACAAAATATTACAATCAATTCCTTTAACTATTCAAATGTATTTAGTTTTAATAGTATAAAACTTGTGAAAAACAAAAATTTAGAATAAAAATTTCTGAATTGTGAATTAAACTGAAAGATTCATTCTTTACTGAAATTGATATTTCATTTTTTCAGGATACATCATTAATTGCATTACTACTGTGATCTAATATAACAATTACTAATATAAAGCATACATTTCAAATTCTGAACTAGTAATCTACGTCATTAACAATCTGTGAATGTCTGGCAAGTCAAAAATACGTGACAGACTGTTCTCAAATCATTCCTAGAAATGTGGGGAATTTATCAGTTGTATATAAACAATTCTAAAATAGATATATGTGAGTTTACTGAATTAATTATGAACTATTAAACATGAGAATTCCTATGCCGTATTGCACAAAGCTACTAAATCTCCTATAAAACAGATGATATATGCTTAAAATACACCTGGTGAAAATTAATTTAAAGATACTGAGTTGCTTTAAGGACAATTATATTTTCTACAATAGTACATTCAGAGTATTCTTAAGACTTTTAAAGTAGATTTGCTCAGTTAAAATATATTGTCCTTTGCTTTTATCATAATACTTCATAAGAAGTATTGAATAAAAATAGTAGGAAAAGAAATCAGTTTCATGATGCAGGGAAAGGTAAGGAAAAGAGTAAATGTTTAAAATCTTGCATTTCTCCTTTGGAACACTATTGAGGACTCATGAGAAAACTAAGTAGAGCATCAGTCTCCTCATAAAGTATTAATCTCTTGGGGCTGAGAGGATGGAACACTCCCCAATTAGCTCTAATGCATTTTTCATTAACATATCCTACTGGGAAGATCCAATTTCTTGTGTCAAAACAGTTAAATAAGGCCCATATATAACTTATTTTTCAATGGACAGAAATATTCAGAGATGGTAGCTTATCCAAATATTGTTGGGCTGTTCAAAACTTTTTGGGCTATATTCTTCAACTCTGTAAGTGATCTGGCCCTAACGACAACTTCTTTTGGACCTCTGTTATATGTTTCCTTCTTAGTGCAAACCCTGTGAACTATTCCACTGCACTATCAGTCTAAACGTGTAATGGGAAAGAGGACAGGAATACAAATTAACTGGTAGAAATATATGTATGCCAAACAACCACTGGTTGTTCCTTCAGCTCTTCAGGATCCCAAACTAAAATGGCAAGGATCCATGCTTCAAATAACAGGCAAGCAGAATCACTGGAGTGAACGCGAGATTGCAGGTCCATCTCTACAATCTGTAAAATCCAGCTACATCTTAAAAGTTTGGTTCTACAAGTCTGGCTCTTACTCACATAAACATCTCATAAAGTTATAGATTCTCCTAATGCTGTTATTATTTTTGTAATATTTCATACATTGTCCTATTGTAATTTTCCTATCAGCCCAGTACATTTTTGCTGGCGAACATTCAGTGACCTGTAAGTACTACATAGGCCCAAGTTCCATATGTTCTCCCGGGCTTTATTGCACTGTTCCACAATTACCAAATGCATTTACACTACATACTTGTTACACAAGCTCTCTCAAATATAAAATGCCACAGTCAAGACCTCCCACAAAAATTAGATTCCATGCTGGAGATATACAAACCAACTCTATGCTGTTGTCATTATGGCTCTTCACCCAAGAAGCCTACTATGGCCATTGAATCTGTCTACGTTCTGATCAATGAATTTTTACCTTCATCCTGTTGATGACAGTGAAACAGAAAAGTGACTGCCCGTGATTACCTTTTTTTCACATTTCACTGAGACACTCATTGTATTGTTACTTTACCTTTCCACCCATTCCTACACCATCTATGTTCAGCTGTTGTATCCTGCCTAATGTGGAGACTGTTCTAGCCATTCCATGTGTCTGCTGAGGTCCCCCAGCTACTGGGAGAGATACTGCTTTCTCACAGTATATCTGTGAAACATATTTTATAGAAAACTACAGTGTCACTGAAAATGTAAATGTTTTCCAGAAGAAAAACATTTCCATGTGCACCACTGAGAATCAGGATGATCTAGAATAAACCACTGTAGCATAATAATGACTCTCTGAAGTTGGTGGGCATGGATCTGTTGATCAGTAGCAAATCTTGATCAGGGTTGCATCGCCCAAAATTTACACCCCTTTTTAAGCCTTTTCTTTAAAAAAGAAAAAAAAAAAAAGCTGAAGAACAAATTGGATAGGAAATTTTAACAACAAAAAATTAGATTATTTCAATCTACATAGCACAGTTTTGGTTTTTGGTTTTTCTTTCCTCAAAGTGGAAAAATACAACATCTTAAATAATTTAAACATTTTTCCTCTGAAGAATTACAGGCAAGAATAACTAAAGTGATGTGCTATCTGGGCTCTAAGAAATGGTGTTGCTTCTGTCAGTCATATTTAATGCAAGTATAAATGGCTTCATGAGTCTAATGGCTTTCTGAAACTGCATTTTGCAACCTATATTGAGATACTATGTACAGTCTACTTTTGACATTTCTTTGTTTAAATGTCTGGCAGTAGAAAAAACTATACTTCATAAAGGGTTCAAACACTCTGAAATGCTGCTGAATATCTCAACGTGCACACATAAGACTGGCTTTTAGTGCTTTTAATGACACCAAAATTAGCCATAATAGGTGTGGGAATCCATTGAATCAGTGTCTTTTGAATTAGTACTGTTGAAAAAGTGTCTTAACAAAGAGCCATTTTTTGTTGTTCTTTTTTCACATACTATCTTTTTAAACATATAGATAGTGTGCGAACTATGAAAACAGATATGGAGTTTTAGTGAGGCCAGCAGGACACTTTAAAAGTTGTTGCTGCTTCTACAGTTGAAACTCTTTGTAAGATCTGGGTCAAAATTTATTATGAAGTGCAATAATTTTTCAAGCAATTCTTGTTAATTACTTTATATTTTAATTATATATATTCAGCTATTCAAACAGACAGAGAGCAGAGCAATCAGCAGAGTTAGTATCTAGATAGATAAAATTAACACTAATTTACTCTAAATTTCCCAAGGTTTGTGGTGAGGTTTTTAGTTTTAAAATTCACAAAGTTTGGTAGAAAAGAAAAGGGGATGAGTTTGATTCTACTTTCTGGTTCAGACCAATCTCTGGTAAAATTGCTTCCATTCATTTTTAAATATCTCAGCAAATCAAAGACTTATTTTTGTAATTTCTTGCACATGTACTGTGTGCTCATGGATGCCCTATTCACTCTGTCCTCTGCAGGGAGCCTGCAGTCTGCAGAAATCTAAGAATCTGGAGGATCAAATCCTTTGGTACTTAACAAATTTGCATATCTTCTTGAGATCACTACAATGTGTTAAAAGTCTTACTTCATCTTTTCCCTACTTCAATACAATATTCTCTCAACTACTAAACCATTTTAGTTAATACTATTTTTTCAGTGGTAGAAGAATATCTGTCTTGAGATATTACCTCATACTTTGATTCCAATATTTTTCCCACCTTTATTCTGTAAGAAAATATGTCACCCTGCAAAATATTATGATAGGTTACAAAAAGTACCTCCTGTCTTCAGGGAGAATGACACATTTTTCTGTACCCATGTTCTTCACAACTAAGAAGGGCCTCTGTCAAAGCCAGCTTTCTGAGACTTCATTTCCAGGAACAATTTTCTAAAGTGACAAACACTATGGGGAAATTTGTGCAAACTGTTAAAAAACCTACAACTGAGTTATTTGCAGTACTATCATGCTAACTTCCACCCTAATAAGACCAAAGAAATCTCAGGAGGGGACTCTGCTAATAGCTTCTTACTGACCTCCTTGCATCAGGCCCTTCTAGTGAATGGTGGCCCAGTGGTGAACATGTCAAATGAGGTGTGAAAGCACAGATTTTATTTTTTTTAAGACTATGGCTCTGACTCGTCAGGGAAAATAAAAAAAAAAAAAGAGAGAGAGAGAAATGAGTTATACAATAGATATATTTTTTCCCTAGAATTCTCTGCTTCAGACCTTCCATCATGGAAACCCAAGCATGACCTGGAATATTAATTGTGTCAGGTCAAGCATACTGGCAAATGTACCATTTGTTACCCAGTCATCCTTAGCATTACATTAATATTTTGAATCATTTTGCATTTCTAACACTATCATTTAGTTTCCTCCCAATCATTTTCTTATCTTTATAATTAATGGTCGCATATAAAGAAAGAAAAAAAAGCAGTAGAAAACAAATATTAATTTAATGAACATTAGCAAAGAAAAGATTTGGGGTTTTTTATGTTCTATATTACTTCCACTTCTAATCTTATATTTAGTCTATGCTGTAGAATAT